GAGATTGCCAAAGCGGCTGTTGGGCCAGCAATTCCTGGTGGGTTGGGTCACACAACAGTTTTGGGCATTTGGTCAAGGCATTTTATTGTTCTGGTGCGGCCAACAATAAAACGAATAAATATGAAGAGAGAAAGAGTCGTATAGGTAGGCATTGCTCGACTTGGGCATAGCCTAATAAATCAATAAAACGAGCGTTTCTTATAGTCTACATATTATCTACATAATGCTTCAGTTCCTTGAGAGATTTTCTATCTAATTTTTTTGCTATATTTTCTCAATATATAATACATTTATAGGAACACAAACATGACATAAATTGTAGTACAGCAAAGCTGATCAAGGTATATTTTATAACTTTTTTAGCTGTACAAGGGTCTGAAGGACTCTTCAGATTAATTGTTCTTAGAAAATTTCTGTAAATCGACAAAAGAGAAAAGTAATAATAATCTCCATACCAAATTGCATACCTCTAACTCTTATATTTCTCGAGCTATATACAGTTTTAAAACCTAATCTTACCGACATCTATCCCTATATATCTCTATATTCCGAAAAAAAAAAAACTGTTTTATAGACGACCAAAAGTTAATTAATTAATTTCGCTCTACTTTCCCCATTATGAAACTTCCTTCCAAGCATAAAACCCTTTAAAATCTCTTTCAATTTATACAGGGTATAAAAAGGCGGCAGCAAATCTTTCATTATTCATTATAAGCGCCACACAGACCGCAATAACTTTTAGCCAAGGGTGGCGCAAAAAGGAACTCCAGTCATTTATCTTGAGTTGCCCGGCTCGATAGCCGGTAAGTCAGTGGTTCCGACTGTCGAAAAATTTCATCAATCTTTCAATAATGCGGCTCAAATTGCCAATGGAATGACAGGGAGGGGACGAAGGCAGGCAGGAAAGAGCTCAGGTAAGTAGTCCAGCGGTGAGCGCAGTAGAGTTCAGTGTCATGTAAATTTGTTTGCGCTGTTGCACGTAGCCAATAAAACGTCTCGGAATGTGCCCTCACTTAAGCGGCAATTGAACCGCACTATATCCCACAAAGCACTAACACACTAACACACACACACACTCTTTCTCTCTCCCAGTGCCATATGAGGCAGGTCATCAGTATAGAAAGAAAGAAAGACAGTCGAAAGCAAATAAATCATGCGGCCAGCCCAAGTCCTTGAACTGTTTACGCGTACGATGCTTCAAGCAACCCAACAGACTTTTATTTATTTTTATCATTTTTTCTGCCATTGACGATGCGAACACCCAAGCACACACACACACACACAGATACATATTAGTATATATATACATCTTTTTTCTTCCGTTTCGGCTTTTTTGATGGCTAATAAATTCGTGCCGCATTCGCATATCCCTTTTATTTATGTTTGTGTTTAGCGTTTTTTATTGATTATACTGCGTAAAATATCTACTTCTCCCTCTGCACATCGCTCCTCTCTGCATTCCTTCTCTTTGTCTCTCTTCTCAAGATATTTCTCATTTTATAAGTACCCCAGTTGTCAGATATATTGCGAAGCTTGTCGCTTCAGTGCGCCTAATGAAGTTATAGCTCGATACGCTTCTCAATTTTCGGTCTTCATTTCATTGTTAGCCAAAGTTCTCACTCCCTCCCTATATCGGTATGCATATAAATGTACACATATATATATATAGCAATATATTTTCATTAGCAGTAAAGAAAATTAAGCTTTTCGGGGTTCCATTTTTTGCCCTTAGTCAGCGTAAATAATTTTCACTTATTTAATTGGCAGTGAAAGTGAAATTTATGAAAATTCCCATCGATACATTTAACAAATGTTTACGGCTTGATTGCGCTTCATTTGTTTAAACAGCTGCCTCGTTTAAAGGCTAAATCAATTGAATCTATATGAGCTGTGCTTTTATGGCTTGCATATGCTTCACATTATAAAACTGACAATAAGCTGTATAGAGTTTGTCGTAAGTTAAAACTAATTAAGATAAAAATAATATCTAGCCTTTTTCATTTGTTTTGATAACGTTTTTCATTATTGATATATAATGAAATAAAATAAAATTCTCGTCAATCCGAAATATTTAAAATTTTAAATACAAATTCACAAAAGCAATTTATGGTATAAAAGACAATTTTATTCAAATAAATCTTAAGCTAATAAATTAGGTATCATTTAATCATAGAAGCAAAGAATTTAACTCTTGGCTGTTGATACTAATCAAAAACAAATTAATTTACAAACATACATAAATAAAAATTAATAGTTATTTTACAGAAATAACTACATATTAACATATGTTCTATGATTTTTTTTTAAAGATATTTTCTACTGCACAAAATACATTTTGTAAACTTTATAAATAAATTACTTAGTATCAAAATAAATGACATGAAATGAAATATATTTCTCACTTAAATATATCTATTCTTAGTTTAAACAAAGCTAAATATATTAAAATCTATATATAAATTCTATATATAAATTACCCACAGAAAATTGGAAAAGCTTTTCTTCAAAATTTTACTCACATATAAGCAGCTTACAGAAAAGTCCAAATAATATTCCAAGAAAAAAGTCTTTGCTGTCCCTCTTTCTATTTTGCTCTCGCTATTTCCCCTTCCACATATGAAACAGCCAATAAAAGATATTTTGCAATTTCTGCAGGAATGTTTGCAGCAGGCAGCAACAGTTGAAGAATGTGAACTTCTGGCTGCAATCATCTTCCAGCTTAGCCCTGGCACGAGCTGGTCTGGACAGCTCACAGCCCGGCATCATTCCATTGAGATCTGAGAACCAAATGCGTATGCCACGGACGCCACTCGATCTGGCCGTGCACTGTCCTTTTGCCAGGCACTCCTCTGCAATAAGATTCTCAATGTAGGCCAAAAAGTCGGCCGTCGAACGATTCATAGCAAGCGCTGGCCCAACTGCAAATGCAACTGCCGTCCAAGCTGCTTTTCAGCTTAAATAGGCATAGATCTAGCAGAGGGCAGAGCTGGCCAATAGAATTAGTCAGTGCAAGTGGGCAGGCGATAAATGGGCGATAAGACATTTGTTTTGCTATAGCTACTACAAGCTTAGAAGAGAGTTGAAAAAATTGTTGTGCAAGTTTTTCAGTTTGTTAAGTTACAGTTTTGAGTTAGGCTGTTATGAAGTCTTTGCTTATGAAACTACAAAATGTTTAACAGTTTTAGTTTTATATAGTACTAGAATTTTATGTATATTTTCATTCAACTTAAACCGTTTTACTACTTTATCAAATAAAAACTGTATAACTAACATATAGAGTGCTTCATGAGCTTAAGCCCAGGATATATTCTAGTCGAAAATCAACTCTTACTAGATTTTTGAATTCGTGTCTCATCTAACTAGAATACCACAGAGGAGGAGAATAAACTTTTATTTTTTAAAAGAGGCTACTCAACAAAATTCTGACTTATTCGAAGATTATGTATTTGCCATATCTCCCTTACGCATTTTCCTAAAATCTCAATATAAATATTCCACGATTTGCACTTCTCAACTCAAACTCGTGCAGACATAACTAATATACACACTTTACATTCTAAGCGCGCATAAAAATGAGTGTCTCTCTTCTGCTTCTTGTTTTCTGCTGAAGCAATGCTCAATGTCTCGTTTGTTTGCGATAAAAGAGACACTCCTGCGGCGACAGGTTCTCGGCACGTAGCCAGTCAAGCATTCGGTCAGCCAGCAATTGTTGAGGCCAAAGGGCATCGCATCTTGGCCGGGTGTGACTTCTTGACAGCCAACGGAATTGTCGCTTTATACTGCAACATTCAACTGGCAGCTGGCCAGCCTTTTATAAGCCGAATGCAGACGTTGGCGATTTACAGGAAAAAGAACAAAAATGAAATAAAGCTAACCGCTGGGCTTGCCTTGCAGCCTGACAAATTGCCATATGCTTAAGTTATCATTCGGTATAACTCACGGCTTGTTCTTTAGTCAACTAAGTGAAGCTTTCCTGCACCTCAATTGGTCTCCAGCTGTGCGGTCTGTTTAAAGTTGAAAGCTGTTTAATTTGTTAGCTGTCGCCGAGTTTATAGCGAGCTACTTTGCAGGTGTTTTAAGCAACAGCTTAGCTTAGCTCAAATGTTGAATATGAAATATAAATTAGGAATCACTTTAGAAAAACGTCTTTGAAACAATTTAAATGAAATTCAGGCCATGTGCACAGCTGTGTGTAAATTAATTTTACATTTTGAACTTTCTCGCTGAATCGTCTTTGAGCTGTAATCCAAATAATTTGCTTTGATATGAGCCGCAAATAACATTTATCTACAATGAGTAGGCTTAAGTGACTATTTGAGCTCAACCCATTTCATACAAATAAGCGAACAATTTATTTATAATTTAAGATAACGCACATTAAGATATTCAAACGGTTTCTCGCTTTGTGCAACGAACTGTCAATCAATTTCAAAGCGAATGTCCCAAACAGATCTTGAACTGCTTGTCTATTAAACAATTCAAGTGCCTGAGGCTAAGAGTTGACTTTGAGATACTCTTGAATCGAAAATTATCATTTTTTTAGTCAAATTTGTATGCATTTCAGTAATAACTAAATGGGAAATAAAATTTGAAGAAAATACTTTGCATTTAAAAAAAAATAATTGAATATAGGAGCTGAGAGTGAACAAATTCAATGAAAATCACAAGTAAAATTCACAAACTTTCTTCTGTTTGGCCCTCCTTAGTTACAGGGTAAATACACAGACACGCATTCAAAATCCACATAATTCATTCAAGACCCTAATTCAGTTAATTAATATTAAATGAGCACAATGGTATATCAAACACTCGCCGCAGAGACGCTTTGTGCGGCTGTCAGTGAAATACAATTAGGCAAATGTCAAATTCAAGTGCGACCGAAAATATGCGCGAAAGACAAATAATTATTGTTCTATAAACGAACATTTTGTGATTGGCCTAATTTTAGAAAACTCAGTAGGCCTAGAACCGAAAACGAGGCATGCCCTATGAACACAGGACTGTAGGAATCATTTGGAAATTATCACGAAACGCATTCACATGAATTTCAGACACATTTTTAAAAATTAGTAAAGTATTTTTATCCGTCAACATTTTTTTGCTTCAGACAACTACAAAAGTTTTTTTTTTATTATTATTTCTGACTTAAGACTGCAGAATGGATGTGACAAGCAACAGCGAAAGTACTTCTCGGCCATTTACGAATAAACCAGTTAATTCGCAAGGCAATAAACTTATATCAATGGGTCGCTGGGTCAGCGTATACAATGATATGCATGGACTAATAAGACGATCAATAATGCCGCGTTATGGTAGGGTCGCCGTTGAAGACAAAGGTCAAATATTGCTGGAGCCTCTGCTATACCAACTAACCGGACGTCAGGATTTTAATCGTATGATATTTTTGTTGGCCCCTTCGTCAAAGCAAAACTTTCACCGCAAACTACACTGCTTCGAGCGGGATACATACAAGCATTTGGGCAGTACATGCATAACCTTGAAGGAATTGGAGCTACTGCAGCAGTTCGAGATGCTATTCAAATACGAATTGGTCTACACAGATGAATACTTGCACGTCAAGTCTCTAGCCTGTGACAGTTCAATCATCGAGCAGCTCGTACAGAGCCGCAGAACAGCTCTACTTAACGAAAGCGAACCAGATCCACAGCCGAAGATAAAATCATTGCGTCAACCAAAGATTCCTGTCCGCTTGCGTGTATCGGACGTTAAGAGAATCCAAAAAATCGAAAGCGGTGATACTGGCGAGCCAGTCTGGAAGCTTTAAGCCTAAAATATCCCAAGCTGTACTATTTAAAAATGTTTCTATTTCTTACGATGTAAGTGCTCTACTTTTCGGTTCAAAATAAAAAATCAAGAGCACTACAATTAAAATTGTCCTAGTTAATACGCTGAGCTCTATAAAATACAGTTTTGCATGCCTCCAGAACTCTACTATTTTATTTTATTTATTTTATTTTATTT